CATTTTATGGTCAGTATATTGAATGAAATCATGAGGATTAGATGAAAATGATGAAGGATATAATGAATTAAAATCAACACCAACGAAATGAGTCATAATGTTGGAAGTGTCCTCATTTGATACAGTTTTAGTTTCTGGACTATATGAAAGTTTATTAATGTGCGTGATTCCTTTAAGATTTACTCTATGTTGAACATTTGATAAACCACCAGTAATTCCATTACGGAGAATGTGATAAGCTTCAACTGAATCTAAAGTCATTGGTAAATTATTTTTTAATGCATAATTTCTTAAATTGATTCTTAAACGTTGAACATCTTCATTTATTTGATTTTACGACATTGCAATAACAACACATTAACTGACAATTTTCTTTGGTATGTGGTTTTTCATTATCGATTCTATCCAATGTTGGTTTATTTGCATATGTAAACGCTTTACCACACATTTTGCATTTAGATGAAAGGATTAAATCGTGATAGTATTGAAAATCATCCATTGAAACATTATTTTTAGTATCCCTTTCTGCTTTTTCATCTTGTTTCTTATATGATTCAATTTTATATTTCCAATACTTTTTCGTTAATTCAAAACTTGATTCTATCTCTTCCTCAGGATATTTTTCATTAGGATTAAAGTCTTTATATGCTAAAGCGTAACGAATCATTGAAGCATTCGATGATAAAGAAAGATTATGAAGCATATCAATTTTATAAACAAATGTTTCTTCAATAATTTTATCAATTGGGTCAATCATAATTTCAACATCTTTATTGCAATAATGAATAAAATATTCTAATCTATTCTTAAAGTTTTTAGCATCATTGAGATATATTTGATAATCACTATCTGATATAGTTTCTTGAGTTAATGCTGAATAAAATGAATCTTTCGTGAATGGTTCCTCTTTATATAATTCTTCTTCGTAATTCTCCCATGTGATGAATTGATAAGGGAAAAAGGATTTAACACGTGATTTATTGTTTCCGAAATCTTGAGTGAATTGGTCTAATGTCCCACCCGCTATATAATTTCTGATGTCAATAAATCTCAATTCATATGGAACGTTTGTTTTCTTTACAATGATTTGCTTAAATTGTGAAGATGAACCCAGCATTGATTTTTTTTCCATTTTGCAGTGTTTAAATCACGAAGAATTAAATTTAAATCAAACTTTCCCGAATTAAAACCTATGATATTCACTTTATTGAATTCCTCATCTAGAAGTTCTTTAAATGCTTCCTTCTGTTTTTCATTTAATGTATGAGACAAAGTCCCCGCCGTTTGGTCCGTTTGCGACTTCATTAATTCTTCATATTGTTCAATATTTGATTTAGCAACTAATGAACAGGTTGAAAATAAAAACTCAATCCAATCAGAAATAAAAGAATCACTTGAAGTTAAGCAAAAATTCCTCGTATATGTTTTATCATTTAATTTAACCGTTGATGATACCATGAATGGTTTTAAGTAAGCGTTCAAAGTTGCACACTCAGAAAGTTGTAATTCTTCTTTAGTCTCTAATGTTTCGAAGTCAAAAGTAATATAATATCTTGTCGGTTGATAATATTCCTGCAAATTATGAGCTAATAACCACTGATATATCTTCTGTTTCGTAATATGTGGTGCATATGGTTGCTGTGTCTTTTGCAACTGAACGTCTTGAATTAATCTTCCATTATTTTCTTTACATTTCTCACAATGCTTTAAAAATCTTCTTTGGTTTTTCCTTTCTGGATCATCACGGATAGAATAAACTTCTTCTTTACAATATGGACAAACTTTATAACCGGTGAGTGCTTCAACGTCTGTTATTCTGTCAGCGTGAAGTTTTCCACATGGACTCTGTGTTAATAAAATATTTACTGTTTCAAATTCTGGATCTATCATTATTGATTCCACTAATGGAAAGTCTACCTTATTTATGTCCACGTCTTCTGGTTGAGGATCACAATAATAGAAATCAATATTAACATTTAACATTCTCGCTAATCTCTCACTTTCTGATGAAATGTCAAACCCTTCATATGAATCTATTGCTTCATTTAAATAACTTCTACGAGTTTTAGGATTAACACCATCAGGAATGTTATAGAAGCGTTTAAATAACCTTCTACCTTCTGCTCTAATTTGATTATCATTCATTTTAGCGGTTCCGTTTTTGTTCATTTATGTAAGAATAAAAATTAAAAAATAAATAAAAATAAAGTTTATTTTTTAAAGCCCATAAAATGAATTAAGAACACATAAATTTTTATCATCTGCAACGTGACGAATACATTTTAATTTACTCAAGAATGCGTACCCTGATACATTAAATCTAATTCCTGTCTTATTTAATTTCACAACTTTGAAAAGGAATGTATGAATAGCTATAAAATGATGAGAAGATGTTTTATGGGTTGCTTCCATTTTTTCTGAAATAAATGAATAAATATAATGTTTATAAGTTTTCATATCTTTTATATTCTTAATAACGAATGGTATAGACCTTTCCACTTCATCTTCCTTCGGTGCTGTTCTTTCATATGAAACATTATTGGTATCTTCAATAATGAAACCACAATCACACAAAATTTTATATGTTCCAATGGTTTCTTTTGATATTTTATCTAATAATTCAAAAACTTTATCAACACCCGTGCATTTATTTAAATAATAATTTGTGTAAATATCATGATCTTCTTTCTTAATCGTATTAGTTGCATATGTCACGTTTTTAAGAGCTTTTTTGAATTTTTCGGAATCTAAAGGTGGTGAAAGTAAGATACAAGGGTATTTTTCATTATCAATAAATTGTAACTTATGTTTACGAATAAATTTAGTACCTTCTTCTGAAAGTGTTTCATCTATTTCGCCATCTAATAAATTTTGTGTTGATTCTGAGACATAATTTTTATATCTTTCTTCATGAGATTTCTGAACTTCTGATTCTGAAGCTGGGATATTCATTAAACCCTCTACTTCATTTTCATTATATTTTTCAACTTCTCTTAATTCCTTAATTTTTTCATCTATTTCATCTCTTATTTTTTCCAGTCTTTCAATTTCAATTTCATTGTATTCATCATCTTTAATCCGTTCTTCATAATATTCAGGGAAAACATCAGGTTCTTTAGGTTTTTCTTCTTTAGATGTGGGATATAAGAAATTTATAACATCATCTTTATTCATTTTTCCATCATAATCAAACTCATTTAAAAACTCCGCGAATTTTTGACAATTTCTTAAATAATATTTATCAACCTCATAACCCGCCTCCTCTAATATATCCTTTATTTCCTCATTTGTGAATCCCAATTTTTTAACGTCGTTAGTCTTGACGCTCATTTCATACAAAATAAAAATAAATTATTCAAAAATGTAAGACATGAATTTTTAAAGTTTATTTTTCATTCATGAAAATAATTATTTCTAATTTCTTTTACTCTCTCGTACATACTAGATTTGAAGAATTCAGAACTTTTACCATAATCTCCTAAATGTTTTCTTATCCCTAACGTGTGCCAGTTATTATATGAAACTGTATAAACTTTATCTTTATCTTTGCATCTTTCATCACTTCCAATATATTTATATCTCAGTTTTGATTTAGCATTTTCATATTCATTAACGTTTAATAATTCACAGTCTTCCTTTTTAAATATATGTTTTATGTATTCAGGATTTAATACTCTACGTTTATATGCTCCTAACTTAGTTCTAAAGGTTTTTCTACAAAATTTAGGAATTCCATCCTCTTTAATGTCATCAATGATTTCCATTTCATTATTTTCAATTTCTTCTTCTCGTTTATGAGGTCTTTGATTATGACTCCATTGATTCCATGAAATTAAATATTCTTTATCATTATATTTATACCTCATTAGCTTATTTTGGCTTTCATATTCATTTAATAATTCACAATCTTCATTTTTAAATTGAAGTTTAACCCATTCAGGATTTAAACAATGTTTAATTAATCGCGGAATATCTGACATCATCTATATATAGCTTCTTTTATAAAAGATAAAAAATAAATTATTTTAAAATTAATGTTAATTTTTTAATGCGTTTAGTATATAATATTTATTACTAATTTATTTAATAATGTCGCGCTTTCTTACGAATTCATGACTTAAAAAACGTAAGAAAAAATTTTTATATCATCTATATATAGAAGATGTGAAAATATACCTTCATCTATATATAGACGTAACAAAAAAAGTCACACAACCCTTCCTATCCTACTACTTTTCTCAAGCTTGCATTCTCGGCGCATAAGTGCCCAGAATGCTAAAAGGCGCATAGCCCCATTGCCGAATATCAAATTTATTATATTAAAAATCTAATAGCTAATAATTATACAAAAATTGCTGAAGTTCTCATTTCACACGGCGCAAATATCAATGAAAAAGATAAAAATGGAGAAACCGCTCTTCATATTGCAGCATTGAATAATAGTAAAGAAACAGCCGAAGTTCTCATTTCATATACATTCAGAAATATTTCAACCCAGATTCTAAAAATATCAGATTCTGAGTTGTAAACAGGGTGAATGAATCATATATTGAATCTTAAGTAAAAATAATTTTATGTAATCTTTGTAAGTAAACTTTACAGATCATTTAAAACATATATTTCTCGGATTCAATCAAAGCAGGGCACTCAAGTGTTTCACCTTTTGTAGCTGCTGCTTGTACAAAACTTATACTAAAAGGAACAAAGTTTTTGGGCATTAGAAGTTTTTAGCGCATTCAATATCTTGAGGAGTTATTCCTCTATTATCATTTGCATTTTCATTTACAGCGTGTCCCGCTAGAAAATATTGTTTATTTCTAATTTCCATAGCCATAATATAAAGTTATATTATTTATATGAAATTGAAAAGCTATATAGCATAATTAAGGGAGTTCTTGATAATTGAAGAAGGGTATTTCTTTTCACGAGGGAAAAAGTAGGGAAATTTAATTTTTTTTTCAGTGAGTGGTTTTCAAAATAAATTCACCATCATTTTTACAATGGAATCAATTCAACTAGATCTCCAAGTATTCCAGCGAATTAATAACTGCCAAACAAGCGACAAATTCACACTAACTATCAACAATTTCGAAATAATTCTCAATAAATTTTTTGCTATTACATTTTCATTAATGATTCACAAAAAATATCTATTAGATAATAGTATCAATAAAGTTGATATATCTCTGGATATTGAAACATCAGACACATATAATGTATTAAAAAATATCCTTCAATGTTGTGAAACATCATTCAAATGCGACAAAAAGATTTTAAAGGATCTTTTCCATATTGGTGTCGAACTTGAGATAAAGGAACTTGTTGATATATACAAAAAGAAGGAGATAGATCATATGACTCTAAACAAAAATAATTGCATTCAATTTCTTGAATATTATATCTACTGTTCATATAATGAAAAGATTTCAGAATGCTGTGAATATATATCTTCTCATTTCTATGAAATTGATTTAAATCAACTCAAAGCAATTTCAACAAAACTCGGAATCGATATCATTCAAAGAATTGTCATCAACAAAAAATTCTTAATCAAAGATGAAAATTCTTTTGCCAATTTTATAATTTCTCTCACACAGAAAAGCAAAAATTTCTCTCCGTTAATAGAACACATTAATTTCGAGTATTGCAGTGATCATATTATCAAAAATCTTTATGAAATATGCGATGGGGATAACTGTGTCAATATTATCAAATCACTTGGTGAATCACTTTTGAGATCAAGATATCATATTCGTGATTTTAGCCGTTATCATCTTCCAACAGAATATCTCGAAAAGATGACTGATTTAAAGAAATCATATTCTAAACTTATAGAATCTCAAGAAAAATTTAATATCAAAAAAGGTCTTAAATCATTTGAGAATCTTCCAGAAGGTTTAACACAGCTAATGATACCAATAATTAATGAATATTATATTAATGGTTATTTAATGCTCATGAATGCCTGCTATGATGGAAGACTCGACCATGTTAAATTACTGGTTGAAAGTGGTTGTTACAAAGATGTAGTGATAAAATCGGAAACATTGGATGAATTCAATAATAGTTATGATGAGCAGAACGATTATGATTCTGATGATGGTAATGAATATAATGATTCAGATGAATCTGATGGTTATGATGAGTATTCCGAATTCACATATGGTTGCACCCCACTTTATGTTGCATCGGTTGCAGGTAAACTTGATATTGTAAAATATCTAATCTCTATAGGAGTCGATAAAGACTCAAAGGTTAAACATGGAAGGACACCAATTATGGCTGCATCAGATAAGGGAAATCTTGATGTAGTAAAATATCTTTACTCAGTTGGTGCTAATATAAATGCAAAAGATAATGATGGAAGGACACCAATTATGGCTGCATCAGATAAGGGAAATCTTGATGTAGTAAAATATCTTTACTCAGTTGGTGCTAATATAAATGCAAAAGATAATGATGGAAGGACACCAATTATGGCTGCATCAAATTCAGATAGACTTGATGTAGTCAAATATCTTATCTCCGTTGGTGCTAATAAGGATGCAAAAGATAATGAAGGTAAAAATGCATTGGACTATGCAGGATATGATGTAGAAGAATTTCTATCATCAAATTGATGTCAAGATTAAATGATCCATAAGCAAAATACATCTCTTCATACAAATATCAAATTTTCATTTTTGAAATGGTTCAAAGTGATCATATTAAATCAATATTTTCAAATCATTTCATCATCTTTCAACTGATTTCCTACTAAAAATGATCAAATTTTAACTTGAGATAAAATATTTATTGCAATAATATGAAATTTCTCATCTATATAATGCAAAATATTATCATCCTCTGCAAATTTAGTCTTATTTTGTCTTAGAAGAGCGCCAAATTTTTTTTGAAATATCTATTGATAAAACATATTTCTATAATAAAAATGTCAAAAAGATAACTTCAAATTTGCGCATTTCTATAAAGGGATTGATAATCAATAGTATTTTTTTTTAGAAATTGTTGCTTCTTAACTTCTGCTTAAAAGAATATATATTTCAAATTCAGGATTCTTTTACCATATTCATTCAGCAAATATATTATTTATTTCTATTCCATTGATAAAGGCAGCAATAATATTAGTTTTTCTCTAAACAAAATATATTCTTAATGCAGAGCGCAATAAATCGTATAGTATATCCATAAGAAAAGTATAGCATGATGCTCTCTAAGAAGAATATTCAAATAGCCTGCCCAAGGAATAACTCCAATAACTTCTGAGTCAATATTTGATGTATTCCAATATTCTTGAGAATACAACCAAACATCTGTCTTATTGTTATTATCACCTTTAGTTAAATAAAAAGATTCTGTTTGATTTTGATGAAATTCAATTTTTCTATGAACAACTTGTGGAAAAGAACTATTAACAACATATATGATTATATTTCCGTTTTGAGCTTTTGCTGATGATTTTCCTTTGGAAATTATAAAGTCTCCACGTCTAAACACAGGCACCATTGAGCCAGATAGTACAGCTGATATAGGATTATTGCAATTCAATAGTAAACACAAAATTTGAAAAAACAGTATAGGTCTCAAAATAATATCAGCTAAATTTGCAAAACGAAAGAATATTCCAAGTGGACCTATATCATTCTTCCCAAAAAACAGCATTTTCAGAAACTCATCTGTTTCTGGGCCTGCATATCCTCTCATTTGCATTTTTTTTAAAATAAAAAAGTGACAAAATCATGCCTAATTTGATTGATCAAGAATTTATAGCATCTTGGACTATTCCGAACTTAAGAGAAGAGTTAAAATCAAACAAAGGCAAGAGGTTTTTCCAAATCGGGGCTTCTCTCCAAGTAATAGACACAATTAATTTTCCGAATTCATATTTGAATGTTCTTGCATATTTTTATCTACAAGGTCGCGTGAAAGTGCACAAATATCTTAAAATCATAGGAAAATTAGAAAATTCAGAAAATACATTTACAAATGAAAATACACTTGAATTTACAGACGACAGATTTATAATTATAGAATTTCCAGTCAAAATATCTCAGTTACAACTAGATTTACCTATTTCTATTGAGTTAAAAATGTATTTTCTTGACCAATCTCCAAATATCGAACCGGTTGATATAGAATCGTTGTTAAAAACAAGTTGATGGAAATATATTTCATCCTCATTTAAAAAGAAAAAAGTTTCATAGAAATATAATTTATAAATCATTTGATTTGTTCATTTCATAATGACCGTTCATTAACTATGCGAAGTTAATTACATAAAATCGACAAATCATGTCGATTGAAGCTTTTCATTTAACATCTTAGCAATTTCCGCGTTCCCGCTCTTAGTAGCAATATCAATGGGTTTAACATCATTACTGTAATGAAGAATTTCATGATTTACAAAAAGAATTTTCTTAATTTAAATTGAATTGGATGAATTATAAAATTGAACTCTATTATAATAATGAAAAATACTTCCATGAATATATTAACGAATGTAATGATTTAAAATCGAATATAATGAATAAATATATTGAATTTTGTATCCTTTACTTAAATCAACGCTTTTTTCAAGAAGTATTGATACTACATTAACAAGGTTACTCTTACATGCAGCATATATAGGAGAAATCTCATAAATTTTGATAATGAATTGTATGAAATTTTGATGAAATCTTCCATAAGTATTATAATGAATAAACTAAAGTCATAAAGAACTCCATGGGTTTCAAATGGAATTAAGCCATCTCCATAAATTTTTAAAAAGAATTCCTGATCTTGAAAAGCCTTTATTAACATCTGCGCCATGTCCAAGTAGTATATTAATAATATCAATATTTTCTTTCTTTATGGCAATGAATAAAGGCGAAACTTCATAAATAAATAAAAAGAATTTCGTAATTAATAAAAATAAAGAACTGTTTGAAGAAAATAAAGAACACCATGAGATTAATATAAAGAACAAATGGATGAGAATATAAATGAACTCCAAAACTTCCATTATAATTAAAAATAATATTGAATTCCTCCAGAAATTTTCCCAAGATTAATTTCTACACCTTTTGGCAATATGAACTTGATTAAATCAATGTTTTCTGTCTCAACACTAATTCCTAAGCATGAATATGAATTGTAAGTCTCTATTAAACTGTAATCATTCTTCAAATAGAAAGAGAACGCCTGCAGGTTATTGTACTGAATACATTCGGAAATTGTTACTCTTTCAACCGGATAATTCTCGTACAACCAGTCTGCAATATCATTCCTTCTGTTCTCAAGGGCAATACCTAAGCAATTATCGAATTTAATTGATTTTTGCTCCAAAATTCTAATGATCTCGTAATTTCCACTATGAATAGCACCTTCTGCAGTTCTTCTTCCAACTCTACAGTTATGTAATAGGAGAATCTTGAAACATTGGATTGAACCACATGATGCACTATAATCAATGAGCGTTTGATCTGCGCGGTTTCTTTGATTGAAATCAAATTCTGGAATGGCAATTTTTACTTGTAACTTATCAACATCATCATAAAGAATGTTTTCCCAAACGGAATCGTTTTCAGGAATGAGAAGGGGATCAATTTCAAGTTTCTTTTTAGAATTATAGGCTTTACATATATTTTCAAATATCGAAATTAAATCAAAAATATATTTGGGAGCTTTTGTCGCAGCATTTATTATACAGTTTAAGGTATAATTAACAAGATCTGTGCGATTATTTAGTAATTCTAATAATTTCAATTCCGAATCTTGTTGATTTTGATTATTTATGGCATAAACAATATCTTCAATATCATAAACACATTTCAACTCATTAGGGATGGCTGTAAATGTTATTGTTGACTCCACAGGCTTTGCAGTATGTCCGATAAAGAGTCTTTTCATCTTCAAAAATTTTTATAAAAAAATAAAAATGTAAAATCGATCGAATTAAAGAGTGAAACATATTTTCACATAAATACATCACAGATGGTTAAAGAAAGGACAATTGCAAATCAGATACTTCATTTGAAATCATTTGCAAGATATTTTAATATAGGAATACAAATTAACTATAACTTTACATGAAACAATGTATTAAAGGGACCTGAAGATACTAATTTAGAAATGCAACAACTTATCATGCCTGTTTGATGTCAGTGTAAAATAATTGGCAGTTTTTTAATTTCACATTTACTTACCATTAAATTACAAGTTATATTTTTAAGTTTTGCTAGTCATGTAAGAAAAATTTCAATGCTTTTGAAAAAACCGACTTCAAAAAATTGACATCAAAAATCAAATAATATTTTCTACACGAGAATTTATTCATAAATAGAACGATCTCTTTTGAATCTAATTTTCTGAGTTCAGAAATAATGTTGATTTCCCTCATTGCTGTTTCACAGATTAAGAACATTACTATTGCGGAAAAAGGGAAAGACCCAAATTACAAAATAATGGTACCATCATCAACTTTAAAATGCTGGAAAACTGCCGCAAATGAATTAAAATCCGGAATTCAGAAAATAACTGGAGTCGAGTTACCTATAGTTGAACATTCAGAAGCATTAAATGGAAATTATATTCTGATTGGTCCAACAAAATACACATCCGAACTTACAACCTTAAAAATAAATGACTTAAAAGTAGATGGTTATGAGATACGCTTTGCACAAGAGAAACACCTCATTATCAACGGTGGTTCTCGCGGTGTTATCTATGGTTGTCTTAAATTACTTGAAGATTTTGGAAATTGCAGATTCATGACATCCTGGATGATGATATATCCACCATCAAACACATTTCAAGTTGATTCATCCGTTGACATATATGAAATTGCTGACGTATTTTGGAGATCTATCAGTATTCCAGATTCAATTCCTTCAATTTACTTAAGAGAGAACTACAAACCATGGGATTATAATGGAGATACCGTTCAATGCTCATATTGCTTACAAACTTTCCCAGAATTATTATCACCAGATTTACATCCAAACAACAAATTCCCTGAGTATTGGGCATTACTACCTAATGGAGCAAGATCAACAAGTGCTCCATGCTTAACAAATTCAGGTGCTTTCGATGTTATTGTTAATAATATTCTCAACAGAATGAAAGTATATCCAAATAGTTTGTACATTGACATCGGACATTGGAATACACAAGATTATTGCCATTGTGCAAACTGTGCGGCTAGAATGAAGTTATATGGAGATATTTATTCTGGACTTTTCGTTGAATTTTGCAACAATGTATCAAAAATAGTCAAACAACATGATCCAACAAAAATTGTTCGTTGTCTTGCATATTTACACACAACTTTTGCCCCAATTAACATCAAAATGAATGAAAACGTCGAAGTTTATTTCGCACATCTCGGCCAAGACAACGCACATCCATTAAACAACAGTATTACATTTTCCAATATGGAATTCAAGAGAGAACTTGACAAATGGCTGAATGTTTCACAACATTTCCATGTTTACGAGTATTTGACGAATTTTTATTTACCAATGTTGATTCATCCAATATATCATTCGGTATCAGAGAACATCAAGTATTACTATAACAAAGGAATGATCGGTTACACGCAGGAAGATTCAGGAGCACATTCAGACATGACTTATTTCAAACATTACGTCATTTCTAAAATGTTGTTTTATCCTGATGGAAATGAAACTTATTTTGAAAACGATTTCCTTTATCATTTCTACGGTGCAGGTGCTGCATCTTATATTAGAAAGTTTTTGGATGTAACTAAAAAGGCGACTGAAAATGATCCTGATTATTACATTCCAAACGATTATGGAATGGTTCCGAATTATTTGACAGAAAGTTATCTAAATTATGCAAACTGGTTGTGGCAAAAAGCTGTTGATGCTGCCAAAAAAGAAGGTGATGAAAAGAAGATATTCAACACAGAAATGGGACAAATACCTTCAATGTATTCATATTTTTATTATACATTATATAACTCAACATATAAATTGATTGAAAAGAATGGAAAAGTTTTTATTGATAATGAAAAAATTACTGAATATTGCAGGAAGATTTTAGAAAGATGTCCTGAAGACAAATCAGCAGATAAATATACAGGAAAAAGTTGCCATATTGCAAGAAAGAAAGATGATCCTGATGGAAGATTAAGACAACTAAAGTTATATTTAGAAGGAGAAACAGCATCAACAATTTCTCAAGGAAATTTAAAGGCAACGGCAACTTCAACAATGAGTGATGGAAGAGTGTTCAGTTTAACTAAAAACAATGTTGAATACTTGGATAGAAGAAGAGGTTTGGATTTCGGATATTCTAAATCATTTAAATATGTTGATTCAGTTAATTATGGATTTAGTCTTAAAACTAGTACTAAAACTAACAATTTCATGGAATTTACAACTTCACCAATAATTAAATCATATACAATTGATTCAAATTCTGTTACATTTAAAGTTAGAATGACAGTCCAAGGAAAACAAACTCCTGTTTTTACGTTATGTTTTGATTTAGGAGATGTTAATGATGTCTTTGTTAAAACAGATAATAATCAATGGAAGAGACCAGTATTTCCAGTTAATTGCACTTCCGAAAATCATTATGGAGAATCAACTAAAAACAAGAATTCTGTTTCTGTCTGTTCCCAAAAGACTAAAAGAGGAATAACAGTTAATTTCCCACAGAATTCAAAATTCTTTACTTTCCTTTTCAACAAAACATCAAATACAATAACGATGTATTTAGGATTTAATTATGATTATTGGGATCTTTTTGAAGAACAAATCAAAGTTACTCCAATAGAAAATGTACAAAACTTACCAAATATTCCTATTCCTTATTCAGAACCAGCACAGAAAACATGGTTCTTCCCTATTTTCTATTTTGCTTCTTCTCCTCAAAAGAATGATAAATGGAATCCAACAACTGATGAAAAGAATACACTTGGATATTCAACGAGTGTTGCTCCTAGAGCACAAACTCATTTATGGCCAAGTAGAGATATAGGAAGAGCTACAGGAAAAAGAGATGGAAACTTTACTGTTTATTATTTATCAAGATGCTAAGGACGTCATCAACCAGAAACAATTGAAGGATGGACATTCGCTTATTCTAACAAAGATGGAGATCATTGGAATAGAAGACTTCCAACACAAAGATGGTATTCGGCTCCTGAAGATGGATCTAGTTTCTTATCTCAATTGGAACCATGGGATGACATGAGAGTTGATGATTATACTTATTTGATGCCATTTAACTTCTGCACAGCTTTCTATTTAGATGGATTGAAATTTGTTGAAAGAAAAGCTCCTTATATTGAAACTAAGGATGTCTACGAGTACAATGAATTAAATCCAATGGAATTCCCTTCATTGAAGAATTATATCAATGATAATATTAATGAAACTGTAAATGAAACAACTAATGAAACAAATAATGATCCAAGTGATTCAAAGAAATCAAATGCAGGAAAAATAGCTGGATTCACAATCCTTGGATTAGTAATTGCAGCAGCAATAGGTGTAGGAGTATTCATATTTATAAAGAAATATGCAAAGAAAGAAGATGATTCAGATTCTGAAAGAAATGTAATTAATCATTTGATTGTTTAATACTAAGAAACACCAGAGCTATCTGTTTTTACCATTTAACTCTCCTAGAATTGCTATAAAAATACTGCGGAATAAATATTTAATATTGAAAGCATTTACTCATTCTATAATACTCATTCAGCATTCTTCTTTAAATGCTGTGTTCACTAAAATTTAAAAAAGGACTATGAAGTAAATATGATAGAGCAGAATTATTATCATCGTTGTTAAATGTTATGAAATTATATAGAAAGAACAAATCAATCAAATTAATTCATTTTTGAAGAAGTATTTTCTGATGTCTTGATTGTATTGGTTGCTACTAAAGAAGAAGAATCAAATCACCCAAGACTGCTTATAATAAAACATCGATAACAGATTATTTGAGTTATATTTTTTAAGACGTTCATAATATATTAAATACTACATACTCCAAAAATAATCAAAGAATTATATTTACGAAGCCATAATATTACTATATTGAGAAATAAGTAGATATTTTCATTCAAAATCACATTATTTTCGTAATTTATATGAATCATTTATTTAACCAAAAAGTAAGAAGCTGAGATCTACTATAAATTGGGGAAAAATCATTATCATCATTGATAATAATGAGATTGAAATTATAATGTAATAAAAATATGAACGAATAAAGGGACACATTCATATCGCAGTACAAAAAGAGATCTAAGCCGAGATTACACAATCAATAGGCCAAATAGTTTCTCATGAGTATATTTTGAGTATTTTTTTATCGATTTGCTTTTATACTTAAAATAGCATGTGCTATCCCTAAGCCTCTAATTCGTTATCCACCGAAACAAAATTAGTCATGATTTTATTTTACAAAGATCACAGAGGAATTGAATCAATAAAAAAGTGACTAACCGCAACAAAAGTTAAAATGGACTTAGACGCATTTATTGTCAGAGTTAAAGAGCACAAACCAATCGACGAACGCGATCTTATCTCTCTTTTCAGAATGGCTCAAGATGTCCTATTTCAAGAGGGCACTCTTTTGAACCTCTCTGCTCCAATTTCGGTATGCGGCGATGTCCATGGTCAATTCTACGATGTCCTTGAATTGTTCGAAATTGGTGGCGATCCAAAGGATGTAAAATATCTTTTCCTTGGCGATTACGTTGATCGTGGTTATTATTCCATCGAAACATTTTCACTTCTTCTTGCCTACAAAGTACGTTATCCAGACAGGTTCTTCCTCTTACGTGGTAACCACGAATGCCGTCAAGTCAACACACTTTACGGTTTCTACGAAGAAATTGTTCAGCATTTCGGCCATGCCGGCCCATGGAAACTTTGCAACGAAGTCTTCGATATGCTTCCAATGGCTGCTCTTATTGATAATCAGATTTACTGCGTTCACGGAGGCCTTTCTCCAGCAATCAAACTCGTCGATCAAGTTGCTCTCTTCGAAAGACGTGCCGAAATCCCAAGTACAGGCCCAATATCAGATATATGCTGGTCAGATCCAGATGATATTGCTGGCTGGGGCCAAAACCAGCGTGGTGCCGGCTGGATTTTCGGTTCAAAGCCAACAGAAGAATTCTGCCATAATAACAAACTCAAGATGATTGCTCGTGCTCACCAACTTGCTATGGAAGGCTTCCAGTGGCATTTCAACAACCACCAATTAGTTACAGTTTGGTCAGCTCCTAACTATATGTATCGTTCCGGAAATAAGGCTTCTATTATGGAAGTTTCTAGTGATTTAGAATGCACATTTAAGGTATTTGATGCTGTTCCAGATGATAAGCGTGTTGTTCCAGAGGACAAGGTTCCACAATATTTCGCATAAAATATTGCTTTTTCCATTACTACAAAATTTATTCATTCTTAATAAATTATATAAAAACGATTATATTTTCAAATTTCCCTTTTTTCTGATTTTTGAGTTTTGATTACTTGAATATTTCATAAATCAAATTTATTTATGCTAATTATAACATGCCAAACAACAAAATTGATCTGAATTTTTATCATTTTGAATTTGAAAGTTATTAAATTCCTTTTGAAATGATAAAAAACGAATTAGTTGAATAAATCTAAGCATATGGAAAGTTTATTTCATTAGTTGCTGAATGATGTTGAACTTGCAAAAAATAACTCTTTGATTACACAATGATTAACAAAACTACAAAATATGTATTTAGAATAGCTATATAGATATTTCGATTTCAACTACAACGTTATCCTTATTGACTTATTGAAGAAATCTTGATATTCAAGTTAAAATCAAACCATTTAATATAGTTAACAGTGTCTGTATTCAATAAACATGTATTGTTCAATCATTGAGATATCTTTATTAAAACTAATTTAGAATCGAAATTCGGTTATATTTAATTGGGCTGATAATAGTTAGAAGATCAACGACATTTCAAACAGTAATTATCCCTTTTCAACTTCATGCGTTTTCTGATACCCACTTGAAATTTCGAATCTGAACAACGCCATTTTTATCTGAAAAGGATTAAAATTTAAAATAAGCAACTATTGTGCTTGTTAAGAATATATCAGAAACAAAACTCCCCGTTCATGATTTCCTAGCCAGATAAGAATTGAAATTTTGATCAATGTAAACAATTCAAACTGTGAAAAGTAATTTTCAACCATCAAAAAAATTATTGGATCTGAATGAAAAATGAAGAGGACATGATTTAAAGTATAATTGCTGTTTTCACTCACAAAAGGTCATAACGCAAGAACGTTAAAAATTTTAAATTAAAAACTAATATTATATATATCATAGAGATTAATATTTAATTAAGGTGACAAATTTTCAATTTATTTTAGAGGTATAAGAGATGACAAATAGTGTTCATCTTTATACATATATTTACGAAGATCCACAGTTTTCATGCATATTTGCCTATGACATTGATATGCCTGCTGAAGATGTCATCAGACAAGCTGCAATTAACTGTAATCTTCCATTAAATCAATCCTATCAACTTTTCGTCAACGTTGCTATGGGCAACCAATCATACCTCCTAGGTGGAGAGACATTACGTATGCATGGTGTCCAAAATGGCTCAGAGATTATAATCATGAGCTGTAATTCGAATGTTACAGCAGAAAATATGGAAAATCTCGATTTTAACAACTTCCAAACGGGCCAAATCAATTATTCAGCAGTTGACTACTCAATCAACCCCAATTATACCTTAAATTCTACGTTTTTACCACCATTGCAATTTGATCCGGGCTTTGCTGTCGACTATAACAGCCAAAACTTCCAAACAGGTGCCGATCAATTCTTTTACGACGATGTAAATCAATTTCAAACAGGAATCTTTTATGATCCTTCATTAAATACAGCGCCACCTGTTACAGATTCTGGATTTTTCCAATTCCAGTCACAGAATACTCTCCAAAATAATCAAGCTGGCGGAAGTTCCGTTTTTAACGAGAATATGGCTTTCAAAGTCCAGCCAGATGATTTACTTCTAAATACTAGCAATGGTCCACAATATGCAATCGAATACGATGTCGCTATTAACAACAACCTTACAGACGAAACAAATGTTTTTGATTTTGGTGTTTTAAAGATCGGAGAAAACGATATGTACCAACAAATGGAGAACCAAGGCTTCCAAGCATACAGTACTACCGTCCATGATATGACAAAAGAAGACGGAACAACTACGGAAATGAAATTCTTTAATTCTCTCGATTATAACGAAGTTAAAACAATGGTTTTAGCAGTACTCAACCTTCCAAGCGATGTTCGTTACTCACTTTTATTCGTTTCTAGCGCTGGAGAAAGATATTGGCTCAAAGAAGGAAAATCTCTCGAAAGATTCCAATTTACAGACAGTTCTAACCTCTTCGTTTACTACCGTGACCTTAAGGTCAGGATATTTACGAATCATTTCGATCCAAGACTCTGCACAATCGATGCTGAAGAAGAAGTCCACAAAATCGTGGAAACTCTCGCTGAAAACTTCGGAATTGTCAACTACCAGTGCTATACGCTCTACACTCTTACTGATGAAGGCAAAGAAAAAGCTCTTCTTCAACATCAAACAGTTCCTGAACAAACAGACCAATTTACAAAACTAGCGTACAGAAGAGAATGGTTTGTATTCTCCAGAATTGATATTTCCAACATCACAGCTGCTGTTCAGACTTACAAAGATGCAAAATCAAGATTATTCAGAGACAAAATCCCAATTCCTTCAAAAATTGAACTCGAATTCGCCTGCTTACAATTCCTTGTTGAAGCCGATAAGCAATCACGTAAAAATCCGAAGTTCCCTTCAGATGTAGATTTCTTCTTCCCACCAGATGCCAATAACGGAAAAGGACTTGGCCAAAAACTTGCTAATTATGTCAGGGATTACGATCAGCTCGACCAATTTAACGCTCTTCGTCGTTTCTTCAGATTATTAAAGAAACTTCCAGGTTTCGGCTGCACAGAGTTCGATTGCACAGTTATCGCTCGTACACGTGCTGGATCTTACGCTCTTGACTGCAAAGTTGAGGTAGGACCACACACAGTCTACATTTACGATAAGCTTTATCCAGATACTCTCGAAGACTTGATTTCTTTCACAAAGATCATCAAGATTGAGTTTGCTGATGATGTTCTCGGCATTCATTTCTACGCCAGAAAGCTTTTCGTCGCTCAATACGATTTCCAATGCGAAAGAGGCAAAGAAATACAAGCTTTGATCGACCGTCACCTCGAAATTATGAGAGATCTCATGTATTCAAGAGCTAAAAACACCGCTTTGCTTCCTCCAGTCGTTAATGAGAAGTTCAAGATCAATTTATTCACATCAGCCGATATAAACAAGACAAAAGACCTTGATTCCTTTATTTACGATAGAAACTATACAGGTATGCTTCTTGTTGCTGTTGCTGAATCGCATCTTAAAATTAAACATAACGACAACCATATTGCTCTTATGAAGATGGATGAAGAAATCTACAGATTCATCATGAAAGATGAGATCCTTGTCCTTTGCGGAGCTCAAGAAGGTATGACCATTTATATTCTTGAAAGATTTACCAACATTGAGATCTCATTCAGTGATGGAACAAAGAAAGAAATCAAACTAGATATCACAAAGAATATCGAACAGCTTACAAAAGACTGTTTCGCAAGTATTGATTTCCCACCACTTACAGGCTTCACTTTCTGGACAACTGATGAGGACGGACAATTAAAGCCACTCGATGTTCGTTTCACCATCCCAGAACAAACTCCATTCTACTCCAAGTTAACCTTAAAGAGAAGATTCTACACACTTTCTGCCGAAATTTTGCAGACAGTTGATGTCGCAAGGATGACTATGCTCGATACAGTTCCATGTCTCAAGGAGCACCAAGTCCAAGGAACAGACGACGAATTTAATGAATTATACGCTCTTTGGGGCTATGCCATGGTTGTTAGCAATTTCGAAGAATCAGAGCATATGAATGATTATTCATGGCTCGAACAGATCTTCCCGAAGGATTTGGAGCTCAATGATTCATTTAAGAAGTCTTTCGGCAAATTCTTCAAGAATTTCCCACCAAAAGAGAAATTTATAGCCATGAAAACATATCTTGGTAAAATCAGAAAGCTCGTCGGCTTCGGTTATGAGTATTTCGATTGCCAATTCCAAGATTTAACACCAGGACATCCAAATAAAGTCCACAAAAACTACAAATTCACACTTGCACCACTCATGTTCGCTGTTGGTCCAAGTACAGATATGGCCAGATTCCAAGTTGGCTACAGATACATCATTACTTTCGAAACAACGAACGAATTCTTGGTCATCAAGTTCGTACAAGACGAACAAGGCTCTGCTGCCACCATCAAAATGCTCTTCAAGAACACAATTAACGAAGTCGTCATGATTCTCGCCTACAACATCAAGCTTATCAACGATCTCATCCTTGCAAGAGAACTCAGAAAGAAGAAGCAGATGGAAGAGCAGATCAAGAGACTCAGAGGTGGTTATGTCGACGAAAAAGGAAGAATCTACGGCGCGATGATCGACTTTTACATCACGAAAGATCCACAATACGTCAATCCACGTGATATCTACTGGATTGAAATCAACTTGACCGGTGCACAAGTTGTTGTCGCTTGCTCAAACACATTCAAACTAGATTTGAAAGATACAGAATTTTGTATACTTTACAAATCCCCAGAAAATATTTATCAATGGGTTGCAGCGAACCAAAAGATTGCTACATTGAATCCACCACGTCTATCCACATTGATTATCCTTGAGCATTATCCAACAATCAATGTTATTCCTATTGGTGCAATGAATCCTGCTCCACAACAGATTAGAATTGATGCAAGTCGTTCTCTCAATGATTTGATGCCAGAGATCTGTTTGAAGTTCGATTTGCCATACATTCCAGGTGTTACTCTTGCTTATCTCCAAGACAAGAAGATTATCTATTTGGATACAGCAAGATCAGTTCCAGAACAAGCAGATCTCAAGAAAGATTTCTACATCATGTTGAGACACTTCGCAATTAACCCTGATGATATCACTGATCCAATGATGTTATGGTTCTTGTTCTGCCAGACAAGAGAATGCGTTTTACGTGGAACATATCCTCTTGAAGCCAAAGATGTCTCCACATTATGCTACTTCCAAATCAACGCATTGACAGGAAATCTTCCAACAAAGGATATGATTCCTTCAAATGATTCTGAATGGGTTCCAAAGGGAATGAAGAAACCAAATGTTGGCAATTTGTTCTCAGAATTGGCACAAATCAATGGACCAATGGATCAGCAAAACGCCATGAGAAAATACATCAACTACGCAAGGAATTGCAAAGGATTCTCTTGCCACATATTCAAAGTTGAAGTTGATAATCTCATGGATTTCAAGAAAAGAAAGATTTTCAACACAATTTCCATTGGACCACAAGAAATCACTATTTACGACGAGAAACAAAACAACATCTTAGGAAGACTCCTTTATTCCAATATCTTGACAACTGAATCTAAAATGGATGAAGCATCCATCAAATACAGATGTTTGCCAGGCGGAGAAGTCCAATACTACAACTGGTTACATCAAGAAGCCATCTCTATCTATTATCTTGTTAACGAACTCTGCCAGATCCACAAACAATGTTTGACAAATCACGGAACAAGAATCAGAGGAGATGGATCATATGTTCAACCAGAAAACTGTGTCAATCTTTTGACAATTATGGGATTGGACGATCCAAGGCATGGAATTAATCTTACATATTCCATTTACTACACAGTCCAAGAAGTTATCAACATGGCTTGCCAGGCATTGATGCTCTTAGATGGTGCAGAATACCTCGGATTAATCAGAATGGCAAATGGAGAATTCAGATGGATGAATCCTAATGATTTATTAGGCCATTATTATCCACAAGCAGGATATGAACTGTTCATCTTCAACAAGTTCACGAGAGTTCCAATAATTCTCGAGAAAACATACAGCGATTCAGTAATGATTGAAATTGATAAGCCATTGTTCAACGCAATTCCTGATATCGCTGCTTATTTCTATGTTGAATTCTTCAATGGTTTCACTTTGTTCAAAGACTGGACAAAAGATGAACCAACAAGAGACACTCCTAAGGAATACATCAAAGGATTTCAACCATTAGATTTAACAAGATCTATTCCTGAACAATTAGGTGATGTTACTCCTCTCATTTTCAAGAGAAGATTCTACAATTTCACAAATGAAGATATGAGATCAATTGATAGAAGAGCATTCCTTGAAGTCAGAAAACACATTTTGAATTCAGATGTCGTTTGCCCAGAACCTAAAGGAATTGAACTTGCTGTTTACTCTATTTTCGCTGATGCAACAAGTCCAGATGTTGCTAAACATACTAAAGTAAAGGAAGCAAGAAAGATCCTTCCTGCTTGCATTCCTGGCAGCCAAAAGATTGGTGATGTTATTGAACATACAATCAAGAGTTCTCCTGATGTTAATCCACCACCTGCCATGAGAAAATACGTTGCTATTGCAAGAACTTTGTTGTTCTTCGGATGCTCGAAATTCTTGGTTTATCAACAAGATGAGAAAGGATCTAAATACCAAGTTTTGCTTTCAGTTGGTCCATTTGGTATCCACATTCTCAGACCAAAAGATAACTGCGATATCGCTAAAATCTCATGGCAAAACGTCATCAACTCAACGACAATTGCTGTTAAAGTTGACGTCAAAGTCGTTCGTTCTGATGGCCAAAACGATGATCTCATGTTTTGGACAGAACAAGCTATTGAAATCAACTCAATTATCAACCAATACTTGATTGCAATGAATCCATGGTTAAATGGTCGTGAACAAGTTCAATCTTTGAGCGAAGATCCAGCAATTGGAAGCCTCAAGAACTCAATCAAGACATTCTCAATCCCATTGAGATGCTCTAGTTATGTCAGGAATCCAGCTGCAAGACCATTCGGCTTCAATCCAAACTGGAATGCCAACGAAGCAGTTAGAATGGCTTTGTACAACTTAGGTATCAAAAACGACAGACAACATGTTATGTTGTATTTGGATTCAAATCATAACTTCAAATGGCTTGAATCTGGAAAACAATTGGCAACATTAAATCCAACAAAACTCGCATCAATTTACGCAATTCCTGCTGAAATCAATGCAATCGTTGTTCCTCCAATGGGACCAATCGAAAGAGTTTGGGTTAAGACAAGAACAATGATCAGAGATAATGTTGGACTTGTTAACAACCACTTCAAACTCGGATATCCATTCGGATGCACATTCTACGAGTTTTCAGGTGATGATATCCTTCCTCTTGATTTCTTGAATCCTCTTCCAACAGAAACACCTCATTACACAGCTTTCGCAACAAGAAGAAGATTCTTCATCGTTACAAAAGATATGATGACCAGTGATGAAACAATTTCTTCTTTGTTCAGAGATTTCAATGAACAAGTTCTTTACAAGAAGAACTCAATACCTAATGCAGCAGCTATCGAATTAGGTATTTGCCAGTTGTACGCTGAATGCTCTGATGCACAACAAACAGCCAATTTGGGTGCAACAATCAATCCAGACTCATATAGAAGAGTTGTTCCAGAAAGCCTCGAAAAGACTGAACAAATGTACGAACAGTTCATCAACGCTTTCTGCCAACACCACGTAATGACATCACAAGAAGCTGTCTACAGATATATCTGCATTGCTTCAGTCATTCCAGATATTGGTGCTGAAATGTATGTGGCTGAATATAAAAACAACCAAAATCCAGTTCAAAATGAAACAGAAGTTAACGTCATTTTGTCAGCAAATGGAGTTTTCATTCGCGACAAATTAGATTTCACAATCATCAAACAGATCAACTACAAGGATATCATTTCTTACAAGTTGACACCAGGTGTTTGCAACGTTAAATTCCAAGATGAAAACTTCCTTTACCAGGATTACAATTTCCAGACACAAACAAGAGCTGCACAAATCAACTCTTACATCAATGATATCATCGATATCTACAAGACAATGGCTGCTTTCGGCCAAGAAAGACTTATTGATGAATCAATTCCTTACGAACAATACGGTCTCAACATTAACAGAAGACAAAATGATGGAGATGATAAAGGAATTGAAGATGTTTATGATGAAATCGTTAACTTCGATGAAATCAGAAAGATCGATTTTGATTTCGATCGTGATACATTGGCTGATAGAAACTTTGATGATACATATAAAATCCCTCAATCCGATTGCGATTTCAGGAAATTCAAAGATTTCAACCAAGAAGAAGCTAAAGATAATTTCAATGAACAAGATATCATGTGGCGTGCTGATAATGAAGCATTGACAGCAACAAGAAGACATGGTGGACTCTCAGAACTCCAAGTAAATCTTCAAGATTTGGCTGAAAACACGGATCAGTTAGATATGACTGACATGGCTGCAAGGTTCGCTAAATTGAAGAACAATGTCGATGATTTGGATTTGGGAGATCATTCATATGCAACAGACTTAAGAAGTGCTTTCGATTCCCTTGCAAACACATCAAGAAACGCTGCTCTTTCTACTGTCAAATTCGATGAAGTTTCTCCACAATTTGATACTCATATCGGAAAGGCAGAAACAGCTCTCAAGACAGGTTTAGACATGAACCAGTCAATCATTTCCAAACTCAAGACAGAAGCAAAGAAATCACCACCAGCAAATCCAGATCCAACTGACATTTTGTTGGCAGAAACATTGGTAAACATGTCAGAAATCGAAGAACAAATCGCCAAACAATTCGCTGATTCCGAAGAACTTATCAGCAAATTAGGAGCAGATCCAGACAAACTTAGATTCAACATTCTCGAGAACTCTGCCAAACTCACTGATCTCGCTAACCAACTCAAGAACAACAAAGGAAACAAATCAGCAATTGTTTCTTTGATTCCTAAACTTCGTGACACAATGGATCAATTGGATGCCATCAAGAAGATGAACGAAGTTGCCGCAGCATCAGGAATCACTGTTGGAAACACTGAGAAATTGCATTCTACGTTAGACCAACTCGCTTCAAATGCAGAGAAAATCGCTTTGGCTTCCAAGATGCAAGATGAAATGAAGAATCCTGAATTCGCAAAGCAGAGACAATACCAGTTATATCTTGGTAACCACGAACCAGTTAAGGCAGCTCTCAAGGCTCTTAGCGAATTACTTCCATTGACATCACAATGCCAGAACATGAAGGGAATTCCACAAAACGAGCGTGAGAGTTTAGACAGATATTTGGGTGTTGTCAAACCAACTCTTACTGATCTTTGCGATGATCTCAAACGCGAGATTTCAATGCTCAACCAATGCCCAACAAACGAAGCTGTAAGAGCTGCCATGTTGAACGACATGTATTCAGCAATTGCAGAGTGCAAAGAATGCGAAAAGAACTTGTATCCTTATGAGGGAAGATCTAAAGAAGCAAAGAGCGCTTTAGATCAAATCAGAAGAATACAACCAGGATGCGAAGAAGCATTACGAGTTCTTTCCACAGCAAACATCAATGGTACATCTATTGATGAATTGTTGAATGCTATGAATGATTACCAGCAAACTGTTGAAAAGACACCAAAGAACGTTTTGGCACAAGCTCCACAATCAACAGTACAAGCTGTCAACAAAGACATCACAAGCATGAAGGCACTGGCTCCTCAACTCAAGAGAATTGGCGACCAATTAAAGAAAGATCCAACAAATGGAGAATTGATGGTTCAAGCACAACAACAATTACTCCAAATGTTGAAGGACGAACCAATCATTTATGCAGATGGTCTTTCTTTAGTTGCATCAACTAAATCGAAGCCACTCTCCAGTTCTGTCAATAATTTGCACAACGCAATGCCAAAGGTTTTGACAGAGAACAGATCAATGGAAGAACCAGATGTTGCAAGACACATTGCTATGTATCAGCAGTCAATGGCAGAACTCGATAGACTTACCAATCTCATTGACTACACAGTAGATAAAACACCAGCATTGAGTCAAGACAACAAACTCAAGAAACAAATTCAAGAAATCAAATCAAAGATTCTTGACAATCGTCCTAACCTTGGCAGATGCAGAAATGAGTTACACGCACATCCATATTCACCACCAACTCATAATGCTGCTTACGATAATCTTGAGAACTCATTGACACCTGTTGAAGACTTGTGCAACATAGTTGACAAGATCAAAGAGAAAGCTCCAAATTCACCTGTTGTTGCACATTCAGCTTTGACAGACCAAATCATCAAGGCAACATTGGAAGCATTGAAGAACGCAAATCTCGGTGAATTCAGGAAACCACCGAACAAAGAAGCTGTTGTCGACATCCAGAAGAACATCCAAGACATGGCTGACATGCTCAAGCACTTGTTAACAAGCAAGGAAGTTACAAGCAAACCTAAAGTCGAAGAAGCTCTCAAGAAGAAATTAGAAGAACTTCTTGTAGCACAAGAAAAACTTAATACACAAGTTGGAGATCCAACAGTTGAGTACATTCCAATGGCAGAAGATTTGATACAAACAGTCCAAGAGACAAAGAATATCTGCAATGGTTTGCAGGCTTTCAAGCAAGATCCAAAGGGTACAGCTCTTGTTGACCAGACACAATCAAATCTTGCTTATTCACTCCAGAAAACTCCACCAAACATCGATCTCGCAAACAGATGCATCCTCGAAAACATCAAACCATTGCAAGATCTCGCAGCTGTTGCACAATATCTTTCTGCACGTCCTTCCGTTCAGAATGATCCAGCAGCAACTAAAGTCCTCAAAGATTGGAATGAAAACATCAACAAGGCACTTTACGGCATTGACAAACTCGCTCACAATCCAAATCCAACACTTATGGATCTCAATGACGTAAAGAACATTTTGGCACAAGTCCACCAAGACATGGGTCAAATTCCAATCGAACTCAAACCACATCTTACAAACAAGGACTTCTCGGAGTTAGGAAAGGCAATTTGCGCTGTAAAGAACCATTCAGGTATTGCAGCAAATTGCGTTAGATTATTACCTGTTTCTGAGAAATTCGAGTTCGATTCATCACCATTTGTTTTGATTGATCCAACAAGTGATACACTAGAAGCTCTCAAGAAAGTTGCTGAAATGGTTAATGCTTACAACAACATCTTGAACAGAATTGAAGGAAGATCCGATTTCATGTCTTCCAAAGAATGCGCAACAAATGTTACAGAACTCAAGAAGATGCTTTCTGTTCCATTGAAGCCATTAACAAACTACAAGGATGAACAATCAGCAATCAAGACATTGTTAGATCTCAGGGCTCTTAATCCAGATGTTATGAATGACGCAAACACATTATCAGGATATTTGAACAGCGAACAATTCCGTGAGATTTCAAAGATCATGACTGATTCATTCACAAGAGCATATGCAATGATGACAAGACCACATGTAACTAAGGCTAACTCAGATGCAGTTACTTCATTGTTAGTTGACTTGATGAAGAAGGCACAGCCATTAGTTGATTCATCATTGAACAACAAGACATTGCAAAGTGACAAGAAATTGTATTCCAAGTTGCAAGCATATGATAAATTGTTACCAAATCTCATTGACAATCTCAAGAAGATGACAATCAAGCAACAGCAAGAAGCAGTTGATGATTTACACCAGAAGACAGCCAAATTACTTAAGATGCTTGAAGACAAACCGGATTGCATCGGATTGATTGATAAGCTCGAGCCAATTTACACAGCAACAAAGAAGTATACAACAGGAGAAAGAGTTCCTGTTAAAGTTGCTGGTCTTTTGATTCCTCGTCGTTCGAAGAAGGATGAAGAGAAGAACAAAGACGCATTCAAGGCTGCTTACACATCAATCGATGCTTCTAAGGCCAAACCAAGTGATATCAAGACAATCACTGAAGGTTTGAATGCAATCAAGAACGCTAAAACTGGTGTTCCTCAGCACTTAATTAGAAGTGCAACAGCAATATTACCTTTAGTTGAAAAGGGAGATCCAGTCAATTGCTCTGATGCTGCAAGAGTTTTAGCTACTGCTTCTAGTGATCCAGCAACAAGAACTAAACAAATGACAGATTTAGCATTCAAAGATGTTCTCAAGGCATCATTAAACATGGGTGATGTTCAAGATGCAATTAAAGCTCTTGAGGACATCATCAACAGGAATGCAGGAGATTTACCAGAAGATTTCATGGAGTATTATTCAGATGCATTGAAGAACATGAGATTGTTGAATGATCCTAAAGTTTTGGAAGTATTGAACACTTTGTCTGCTTCAATCAAAGAATACCAGCCATTGCATGCTGTCGATGATGCTGTTCGTGGAATGATCAATAACGCGAAAGACATCAAAGGCATGAAGAAGCCTATGCAAGATTTGCAAACAGCTCTTGCTAAAGCGACACCATGGCTTAATCAAGCCGACTTAGCAATGGCAGGATTAGTTGAATTACAAGCAGATTCAATTGCAAAGAATGCTGAAGACATCATTCACGCTGATGAACTTGGTAAATTACCAGAAGAAACAGCCGATCTCGTTAACAACATGGTTCTTCTTCTTAAGGACAAGGACAGAAACACAGCATTCAATAAACTCAATGCTCAAGGATTGGCTAAACTTCTCAATGAATTCCAGCAACAGCATCTTCCAAAGATCAACAAGAACACACCAGATACAACACAAAAGACAGCAATCAATGATTCTGTCAACAGCTTGAACAATCTCAATCCAGTTATGAGATTATGGACAAACAAACTCGACAAGAATGAACCAGAATTAATCAGAAAGGATGCTGAATCAGAACTCCTCAAGGCCATGGAAGATTTGTTACTTGCTGCAAATACAAATACTCCATTACAGCAACAGAAGATGAACCTTGCTTCAACAGATGGAAGATTGCAAGCTTTGTCTCAGAAATTACAAGAATATTCTGCTGCAAACAAACCAGTTCAAAAGGTAATTTCTGATATCGGAAAAGCACACTCCAACATTGTCAAACAGAAGAAATCTAAGAAACCAGATATCACAGATTCCAAAGGAAACATCGAAGAAGCACTTAAAGATCTCAAAGATGTTGATCCTTCAATTGTTTCTAAGGATGACAGATTCAAGATTGACACTAAAGGACTCGATAAAGATGCTCTTACAACAGCTAAAGCTGCAAAGAAGATGGCCAAAGCACTTGACGCAGAACTCGAAGATGACATGGATATCAATGATTCCGATTTCGATTCAGAAGATCTCGGCAAAGGCGGAAAGAAGAGAAGAAGGAGGAGACTACGCAAGAGGAAACATCGTGGACGGCTGCGTGGAGCTCTCAAGGATGAAATCAAGGCACAGAATGATATCGATGACAAGAAACTTGCTGCTCTTGTTAAATTACAAGAAGACAGACCATTCCCAACAGATATCAAAGAAGCTCTCGATGCTCTTGATAAGTTAATTGACGAGAACGCTCCAATTGTTCCTCCAATTCCAAACGAAGTCTTCAATGCTCCAACCTTCACACAACAGATGTTCAAAGAGTTACTTGGCGGACAAGAGAAATACAACTTAGTTGACAGATTGACATCATTACAGAAAGAACAAAGAACACTTTTCGCTGATGTCAAGAAGTTGGATGATCCTGAAATCAAAGATCTCAAAGATTACAACTCCAATGATATTCAGGACGCAATTATCTCACTCCAGAGACAATTAGATAACATGAATGATCCAAACAAACTTCTTGAAACACAGCAACACATCGATGCAAATCAATTCAAGTTGCAACAAAAGATTTTGTCACATGCAGCTGATTTGACAATGCAACCAGATTCAAGATTACCTTTGTCACAAACGATTGATTTCATGAGAAATGCTGAAGATGATTTACTCGAGAATTTGATCATCAATCATGGAAATGATCCTGCCAAAGTTGAAATTGTTCAAGCTCCATCATTGCAGAGAACAATCAACAGAGGTGTTTCTCTTTCTGATATGATTGACAAGTTGTCAACACTTGCAACACAATTGTTGCAAAACAACCCTGATGTTTTCAAGTACGCAAAGACAAAGGAAGGCATGAAAGTCATGAACCATCCTCTTTCTAGTCACGACATCATGGAGACTCAAAAGGAAATCACAAGCCAATTAAGCCAACTCAATTCTCCAGAGATTCTCGCAGTCAGACACAAAGCAATGCCTCCTGAAGGTGTCATCCAAGAAATCAGAATATTAGAACATCTTTTGGATCTTTTGACTGGAGCAAATGGAGATGCAATCATCGGAAATGAAGACATTGAACCAACAGAAGACGCAATTTTCGATAAGATCAATAGCGATCAGATCAGAATTGCTTCTGAAGATCCAAGCAAACTCAAGTTGCCATCATTAGTCAATACTCACAAGGCTCTCAAGGCAGAACATTATCTCCTTGACACAATTGCAAGACTTGATTTGGCACAGAGATTAGGACAATTGCAGCAGCAACAATGCGCAATTTCTGAAGTTCCTAAAGGAGCAATGAATCCTGATGAAGCTTCATTACAACCAGCAGCAGCAGTTCACAGAGAATTGCCATCAATTCTTGAACAAGTTGATTCACTTGATAATCCTAAACAATTAGTTGACATCATCAAGAAATTGTCACCAGGATCAATTTCAGCTCAACAACAAATATTGTTACAGTTGGCTTCGATATTGACTCAACCAAAGGTTTTGGGCAAATTCCCTGAATCATCGAAGATCACCAAAGTTGCGGGCAAGAAAGTCATGAACAAACTCCAAGAGTCAATCATGAAGAGAACAGCAGACATGCTCTGCAACGAGCCAGATAAAATTGCTGATGTTGATATCGAACAAAGTACATCTCCAAATGATTCACTCCAAGCATTTGATTATGCTTCACAAGTATCACAACAAGCAGGCAACCTCGCAAGCTTGCTGTCACAGATCCACCAGAACTCAATGAATGCTGCAAAGACAGGAAACGAAGCAAAGAACAATGTCCACAAGGGAATGGAAGGAAAGAAGTTCGAACAAGTTAAAGAACCATTCGAAGAACTTAAGCATCTCCAGAACACTTCTCCAGAAGAAATCAAGGATTATGTAACTGAATTAGATCCTAAGGAACAATCCATTGCTTATCTCCTTGCTGCTGACAGACTCAAGGCTTTGCAGGAAACTCCACATGGAGATCTAAAGGTTTCTGATTTGAGCATGGCTTCTAAAGTTTTCGATCATGCTGCTTTGATCCAAAGAAACAAGGCAGAAACAGACAAACTTCCAGCACCAAATCTTGCAAATGTCAACAGCAGAATTGAAGATTCCAAAGCAGAACTCGCCAAGAGAAATGTCGCTGACATGTTATCTGCTTTACAGCTCCAGAGAATTGCAAATGCACCAAACTTAGTTGATGCTGCTCATTTGGATGAAAAGCTTCTTTCAAACATCACTGCAGATTCAATTGGACAAGCAGTTGAAGCAGCACAAGCACAAGTTAAATTGTTAGGAAATGCAGATAAACTCAAGGCATCAATTCTTGCAAATACTCCTGAACAATTAGCTGTTCAACAAGCTTTGTTGACTGATTCAATGAAACTCACAATGAATGATGATTTCATGAATCCAATTCTTGCTCAGATCGATTTCAAGAAGGAGAATCCAACATCTCCACAAGTTGCAAACAAGATCCTCAAGGAAATCCTCGACAAACAAGCACAGGCACTCAAAGGAGATCCAATCGCTGTTTCAAGAGTTACTTTGGACACTCCTGGACAGTTGGCGGAAATCCACGCAGATACACTCGAACAGAAGGAAAGAGCCAAACTCAATAACCAGTTCTTGACAGCTATTGATGCTTTGTCTTCTTTGTCCCCTGAAGGAGTTAAACTTGCAAAGGCTTCTTCCGGAGGACTTGCTAAAGATCTTGAACCAGCAGATTTGGCATCATTACAAGAATTGATCAAATCAATTATTGTTGAGCCAACAAAGACGAAATCAAAGATCAAAGAAACATCAGCAAACGAAATTGCAACACTCTTGAGTTTGCTTGATGACATGTCAAAGACCGTTCAACCTTTGACAACTGCTGAACGCCAGAAAGTCAACGAACTTTCAAAGATCGGATTAGATCCAAACAATTTACCACAAATTGCTGCTGTTTCTGCTGATACAGCCACTCCGAAAAAGGAAGGCAAGAAGCTATCAGCCAAGAAATCAACAGCAAAGAAGGATGTCGATCTCATTCAGCAACAGAAGAAAGGAGCAAGACCAATCTCCATCTTCAACACTCCAATTAAGATTGATGAAGCATCAATGAGAGGAAAGGCCACTGATTCAAGGAAGCCTTCTCTTGCTGATGCTTTAGATGCATTAGTTCGTGCTGCAAATGGTGTTGTTGACATGTTACCAACAATGTCATCTGTTCCATTGAAAGAAGCCAAGGAAACACTTCTCAAAGACACTCAACTCGCGTTAGACATCCTTGATGATATCCTCAAACGCAAGGACAGAAATTACAACCCACAAGTTGGAATTTTGACTGAAATGGCTCCAGAACTCATTGCAGCCATGTCAAGAGTTATTCCAACATTAGATAAGTCATTAAAGGACTCATTACCTGATGATCCATCAACAGTTCTCCCAACAATTTCAAGTATCCAAAAGAACGCAATTAATTTGGATAACAACAAAGCATATGAAGATTACAAGAAATCAGCTTCAAATCTTCAAGAAATGCTCAAGAAAGTTAACGCTGCAATTGGAAATATCAATGCAGATCCAACTGTTTGTGTTGCAAACATTGTTTCACAAGCAAAGAAGATCGATTTACCAACATTAAACAAGGAGTTGATGGACTTCCAAGCAGCCAAAGTTAACGCGTTAAAGAGCGGCCAGAACAAGAAACAAATCGGATCATTCGATCCAATCATTTCCCAGATTGTTCCTCAAGTGAGAACAGCGATCGCAAAGCCTCCTGGATCTAAGGAGAAACAGAGCGATTCACAAGGATTGGATGATCTTCTCAAACGGCTCCAGAAAGCTCTCGACAAAGAAGTTTTCGATCCATTTGCTTCAATCGAAGCCTTGGCGAGACCATCAGACATCCCTGCTTTCATTGGAACAGTTAAACCAAAGATTGAAACAACAAGCAATGCTTTGATCAAATCTGTTTCAACACAGGAAAGAACAGGAGCAGAGAAATCAGTAGAAGACCTCATCAGACACACAACAGATGCTCAGGCAGCTATGTTGAAGGGAATTGACTTGAAACCAACAAATTCAGTTCCAGAACTGGTCAATTTCTTCAACGGAGTTAACACATCTATGAAATCTCTTGACTCAATATTGAACCAGACAAAGAATGCAGCAGCAACTCCTGTTGCATTGAGAAGATGCCAGAGAACAATCGAAAGAGTTGTTGACCAATTGAACGACCAGATTCAAATTTTAGATAGAACTGCAAAGCCTTCTAAAGTCGATGAAAAGAAGATTGAATTCATCAAGGCTGCAGCTGCAGGTTTGCAACCATTAGTAACAACTGTTTCTGCAAGAGCTTCTGCTCCTGTCAAAGAAATTTTCTCATCGAAATTGCAGGCAAATCTCCCACAAATCAAGACAAAACTCGATGCAGTAAAGAAGGCAGGAACAGCTATTGCAAAGGTTGTTGCAGACAAACAATCACTTGACATGCACAAACAAGTCGGTGATTTACTCAAAGCACTCAACGAGTTCATGGATGATGTCCAGGATCCAGACAAGACATCATTGTTGGATGCTGCAGGAAACCTCGTCAAAGTCTCAGGAAAAGTTGCAGAAACAGTCGGATTCGTTGCCCAATTAACAGACAAGAATGATGCTTCTCCTGATGTCGCAAATAGCTCCAGACTTCCTTCGAGATTTGTTTTACCAATTCTTCCAAACGACGTCAAAGTTAACTCCAGAAGTGATTTGTACAACGAAATCAACGCTTTGACAACAGAATACAACAAACTCGAGAATAAGTTCTTGGAAGTCTCATTAGCAGAAAAGACATCCAACGGAGAACTCGCGGACAGAATGATTGAATTGTACGAGAAAATGAAAGTTTTGGCATTGAGACATCTCTTAATGTCAACATCCACAAACAACCTCGATAACCAAGACCAGATGGCCAAGGAACTCAACAATGCGGCCGTCAACTTCAACAAACAGCTCAGAACATTGAGAGGAAGATTCCTCTTGAGTGTGAAGAGCTGGGACATGAGAGCTCCTCTCATGGTCAATGCAGTTACAGACAGCACTAAGTTACTTTTGCAGATTTCGAAGAAGATTGCTGATGAAGAAACAGCGAACGAAGAATTCAAGAAGGCATTAGGTTTCCAGTTTACGCAGGCCCTGGGACCTTTGTCTCAAGCACAAACAGCAATCAACTCCGATTCAAGCATCTGCAAGGCTCTTCCAAAGGGAGAAAAGAAAGAATGGGCAACAGCGATGGTTGACATTGGAAAGAACTTAGGAGATGCTGTCCAGAAGGTCTTCAATTATCTCAAAGACCATCCAAGCAAGAAGATCAAACCAGAAGCAGTTTCCGCTTTCGCTTCCAACCTCACAACGAAACTAAATGGAATTGACATGCACGCGAAGGAAGTATTCGCAGGAAGAGGAAATCCAGCAGCACACTGCTGTGAAGCAATCAAAGACTTGTCATCATTAGGTCAGGCGTTCTCAGATTCAGTAACAGGCATCGATATTCCTGGCCTCAAAGATGCAGTTATTTCCATTTGCAAGGCTTCAGACAAAACATTCGCAAATGCAGAAGCAGCAATGAAGAGAGCAGGTGCAACCGAAGCAACAATAGAGATGGAAGGAACTTACCTCGGAGAAGAAGACTTAATGAAGCGTTTGATCTTAGAAGCAAAGGTTGTGAAGGCAAGACTTTTCTTGGGAAGATACGAAAACAAACTCAAGGCACTTAATTAAGATTATTTATATTTTTTTATACATATTTTTTTCTTTTTTTATCTATGGAAATATAAAATTTATGCGTATTTTATTAATTTTTCATTTTGGTATTTGCATTGAACGATTCAACATCCAATGGACACTCCAATATATATGAATTATGCTAAAATACATTGAATTTAATAAAAAATACTTAAATTAAATCATTTTAAATAAAATAAAAAATAAGGATATCTTAAGTCTGAGCTAAAAGATATAAAAGCTCAAAATGATAATGAGAGAAATCTCGTTCATATAATAAAGTCATTTCAATTGCAATACAATAATCTTGTTTGAAAATCACTGGAACTGGAAGTAAAGTAATTCCTGAATAAGAATCATATATTTTATGATTTAATCCACTGACGTAAGCTTTTGGAATGGAATACCGTAAGGCTTGGAATAACTTAGTATAATTAGTACCTGTCACATTATTGATAATATATTTACCAGCAAAATTGTTAATGGTATTAAAATAATACAATGTATCATGATAATCAGTAATAATATACTTGATATTATTGCAATATTTAAATGCTTCATAATCAACTCTACAAAAATGCCCTAAATAAATAGACACCAAATTAGAACATCTAGAAAAACTTTCCGAATATAACTGGCAGCAATTTGGAAATCGAATACAACGTAAATTGATGCAATTATTAAATGCTCCACCACTGAATGTATTAAAAATAAACTCATTTTGTTCATCCATAGTAATATTTTGTAGTTTTGTACAATTATTAAAACAGTCATACGAGATTTTAACTTTTGCTGGAAGATGTATTTCAACCAAATCTTGATTGTTAAAGAATGCTTCATATTCCAAATTGCATGAGGCATTAATTTTTAGCGTTGTTAAGTTGCGGCAATTTTTAAATGCATACTGTCCAACTTTATATATATTCGAATGTATAATTATTCGATTAGGTATAGTGCAATTTTCAAAAGCTCCGGTGTCAATTAAAGTAACAGATTCAGGAATTTCAATCGATCTGAAAGTGCAATTTTTGAAACAATAATTCCTTATTACTGAAACTTTCTTTGGGATCTTCAAGTCAAAGTCAATTAAACTATTTTCAAAGCAATAACCTCCTGTTTCGTTATGATTACTTCCAAATTTAAAATGCTTCAAGTAATAGCAATTCGCAAATGTTCCAAAACCAATTTCAAAAACACTTTCAGGTAATTCAATAGAACTTATTTTTGTATTATAAAAAGCTCTTTCACCAATTGTTTGAAGTGTGTTTGGAAATTCAATCTCTTTAAGATTTTGACAATTTGAAAAAGTTCCTGTGTTAATTTTTTTAATATCATTTGCTATAATTAATTTCTCGATGTCCTTGCAGTTTTCAAAACAATAAACACCTCTCACAACTATTTGTGTTGTTAATGTAAAGATTCTTGATAAATGGCATGATCCAAAGCAATTGTCCATCAAATAAATTGTAGTTTCAGGAAGCCGAATCTCATTTTGAGTGTAACATTTATAAAATGCGTAAGCTCTAATACTACGAATTGACTCAGGCAACTGAATTGATATTAATTTACAATTTTCGAAACAATTATCTCTTATATCAACAACAGTTTGAGGAATCGTAAAAACACTAAAATTGAAAGAATTCTGGAAAAATGATATAGGTATGTACCTGTTTTTATTGAAAGTAAAATCTTTCAATGATATGCAATTTTTGAATACTCCTTCACCAAGATTTGTAACACTATCTGGTAAAATAAATTGAACAAATCTTGTGTTTTCAAATGCATCTTTATTAATAGAACTGAGAGTTGTTGGAAGATGAATCTCCTTAAGATTAATACAATTTGCATATTCACCTTCAAAAATTGTATTGATTCCTTCTTCAAAAGATACTTTCTTTAGATTGATCATTCCATCATATAAATGAAAACCTCTATTAGATTTCCAAATAAGTGGAATTGAAAGCTCTTCAATTAAATTGATACCACCTAATGAATATTTACCAAATGTATATTGTTTGTCGGTAAAATTATAAGATTTCAAATATGAACAATTGTAAAAGGCATAATCTCCAATTGAAAGCACTGAAGCTGGAATGTTAACTGTTTCTAATGAACTATTTCGAAAACATCCAAATTCAATTGTTTTCAAATTATTTGGTAAATTAATCGATTTAAGACTGACCGTGTTCTCAAAACAAAAATTCGGAAGTACTGTGATATTATCATTTAATACAATTTCTCTCAATAAATAGCAGTCTTTGAATGCTGAATATTCAATAGTAGTGCAGTTAATTGGGATATGAACTGATTCTAAACCGCAATTCAAAAATGCACGATTTTCAATAATTTGAAGAGTTTCTGGGAAAATTATTTGCCTCAGATTAGTACAGTATGCAAACTCTTGGCTGTAAATGATCTGATATCCTGATGGAAATGTAACTTTCTTTACGTTTGACATATTCGCAAAGCATTGATCACCTCTGATTGTAGAATTATGTGGAAATGAAATTTCTTCAACCAATTTACAATTAAAGAATGCGAAATCCCCGATCTCAGATAGATTCACAGGAAAGTTTAATGATGAATTGCAATATTTGCAATTATAAAATGCATTGGCTTCAATTGTTTGAAGAGATGCTGGAAGAGTGAGAGAAATTATTCTTGCATTTCTAAAACAATTCATTCCAATTTTTGTAATTTGTGAAGGAAGATTGACAACTGTGTAATTAAAAGAATCTTCAAAGCACGATTCTGGTAAAGAAGTGAATTTGCTTCCAAATGTAATTTCTTTTATAGCTGTACACCGCTGAAATGCACCCTTTTGGATCTCAACAACATTATCTGGTATATGAACTGAAATTATACCAGTATAAAACAGGGCCTCTGCTTCGATTACTTCCAAAGTTTCTGGGAAATTGATTTCTTGAAGATTTGTACAGAATTTAAACTCCTGATTATATAATGTAACTATTCCTGTATCAATAATAACCCTCTTCAAGTCTGACATACAATAAAATGGACAATTCTCTCTTCCTGTGTATGATACATATATGTGAATTTCTTCAATCTTACTCACTCCACTGAATACATTTATTCCAAATGAAATAGGAATATTTGGCAACTGTATATTCTTGAGAGACTCACAGTTAGTAAAAGAATTATTTCCAATTGATAATTAAGTTATTCCATCATGAAATATAACTTCTTCAATGGAGTTGCAAAAAAGAAATGCGCATTGTCCTATAGTCGTTACTTTATTATGAATTTGAATGGATTTGACACTTGTATTTAAAAAACCTTTTTCTTTAATCTCAATTAATGTTGTTGGAAGCTGAACTTCTCTCAGATTTGTCAAATTGGCAAATTCTTGAACGTTTATTGTTTCAACTCCATCAATCATTATAACTTTATTTAAGCTTTTCATTGCTTTAAAAGCGGATAAGCCTCTTTCATTGGCTGATATTCTTAATTCTTTTATTAATGTACAGTTATAAAAACAATATGATCCTATTTGATTAACACTTGTAGGAAGATTAATACTTTTCAAACAAGAGCAATTGGAAAAGACGGAATCTTCTAAAGTTACTAAATTTGGCGGTAATGTGATTTCAACAATCGAACTTGACCAAAAACAGTATTCCTTTATTATTGTAATTGACTTTGGAAGAACTATCTTTGTGAGACTAAATGTAAATATAAACATTCTATCATCTAACTCAGTGAAATCGTTATTAAAAGTAATAGATTTTAAATTTTCACAATGGGCGAATGCATAAGATCCTATCGTTGTTACACTTTTTGGTATGACAAAGGTTTCATAATTTGTTGCTGAGAATGCGCCAGCCCCAATTTCTTTTAATGTATCAGGGAGAACGAAGGTAGGATATTTACCACAACCAGCAAATGCAAAATGCCCAATTTTTGTAATTTTAGAATCTAAATTAAACGAAACAAGTTTTTGACAATTGTAAAATATATTGTCTGGTATAACTTGAAATGTTTTTGAAAAGTAAACTTCTCGTAAATTAAAACAATTCACAAATAAACCGGCTCCAATTTGAGAAATTTTATTTGAATTGCATGAAAAAGTTAATAAATTTGAGCAATACATAAAAATTTCTTCCCCAAGTTGCTCAATTTCAATAGATAATGTAATTTCTTCTATCGATAGGCACTCAACAAAACAACTCGAATCTAATTTTTTCAATTTATTAAAGAATTTTGGCGAGGTAATATTGGTTCTTGCAAATGCTTCAGGTCCTATTTCTTCTAATGCATCTGGGAAATTGATATGACGTAGAGCAGAGCATCCTCTAAGGGTCATTATTGATTTTGTAATTTAATCGTCGTCGTTATCGATTTTGTAATTTAATCGTTATCGTCTTTTTCTAAACGTGCATTTTTTGCTTTCGGAGCTATTGAACATACATTGGCCCTTACCAGCAATTGAAAACTATTTTTCATTATCAACAATTACATTACTCCGAGTTATTCATCAATCAATGAAAATCGATATATAGTCCATACTTCAATTTACAATATTGGCAAGTCCAATTTCACTTGGCATATTTAACTCATATAGAAAAACCAGTTGGAATCGGCAAAATTATCTTTAATTCCATACATAAGAAAAAAAAATTATAAAGTTCTTCAATAATAGCAAACTAATAGTTTAAATAGATTTACAAGTATCGCCCATCTACTTTTGATATAATTCACATATTAAATGTAGAAAACTTGTTTAAAATAAATATTTCAAAAGTTCGAAAACGATTTATGAAAAAATAACTTGATGACATTTACTAAATTTGCTCTGTATTAAAGTATCGATGATAGAAAGAGCATATTTTGTAAATATTTCAAAAATATTTAAAAGTCGGAGAAATTGTATTGTAATGTACTATAATTATGTTACAAATCCGATTCAATACTAATCCTTCGCTATTGAAGTTGTTTTGAGAAGGATATTCTCTAAATTCTTGATAAATCTTTAAAATCTAGAGTAATCGTTTTGTAAACTTAACAAAACTAAAATGTATACCAATAGATTGGCATTTTCTACGTTTTCAAAGTGAGAGAGTGTAAATTCTTTTTTTTATCCTATTAAGGTTTTTAAAAAAATTAATTAACTTAATTTATATGATCTGAAATATATGACAAGTTAATATGGAGAATTCTTTCAACCCAATTTCAATTTATTGAATTTTCTATTCGAATTCATGAAGATTTGAATTTTCTATTCGAAGTCTTTACGTTTATGTTTAACATTCAAATTTTCAGGTCAGGTATGAGGGGCTTCCAGGGGCTGCGCCCCTTCTAGCCCTAAGAATTTTGCCCAAGACCCAAGAGGAGGACCGAACCCCAGCCGACCAGCCGGTGACAAAACCAAAACCGTTGTTATTTACATCATATTAATGGTGTCACTTTTAAAAATGTCACTTTTTGTTTCACTTTTCACAAATTATATATGTTTTCATGTTTTGTCACTTTTCTGTCACTTTTCGGGTAAAAACATTTTTATTATTATATATAAATGAATTTTACAAAACCACCGTTACCGTTCTTTGGAAATAAGAGTAGATGTAAAGATATTATATTGAGAGAACTTAAGAAACTACCGAATGGTCTAACATTTGTAGATTTGTTCGGTGGAAGTTTCTATATATCCCATTTATGTCATACAATATTCCCAGACTCAAAGATTATATGCAATGACTTCGACAACTATATGGACCGTCTCAAACATATTCCAGACACAAACAATATATTGAAAGAGTTAAAAGAAAAGATACCTATAGGTAAGATGGAACGTATACCATTAGATAACAAAAATATTGTGAGAGAGGTTTTGAAAAAAGCAGAATATATAGACTGGAATAGTATATCTGCTAGACTATTATATAGTGGTGCTATAAGAGTTCATGACATTGAAACACTTATGTCAAAAGTTTTATATCTTAACTATACAAATGTTTTCAAAGAGGACATAGAAAAATATATTGAGGGTATAGAGTTTGTGAGATGTCATTGGACAGAGTTGTATGAAAAATATAAAGACAAGGAAAATGTTTTCTTTATAGTGGACCCGCCGTTCTATAACACATGGGATTTTCAATACCAAGTAGACTGGACTTTGAGAGACTCTTTAGAAACTTTAGACGTTATACATAACCATCCATGCTTTTACTTTACATCCGATAAAAGTGGTTTGGAAACCGTTATGAGATGGTTAGAGGACATAAACGACTATGAGTTTATATATGACAAGATAGAATATGAGAGAGGTCCTATAAACTGGAGAAAGTGTCATAACAAAGAAATTTTATTAGTAAGTAAATGTGGTTTGAAATAGGACTACTTGTTTTAGGTTTTTTCCATTGTGTCATTTATTTATTTGACGTGGCAGAAAAGTACAGAGAATATGAAGATGAACCAATGCCTGCAAATGTTCAGTATATGTACTCGTAAGAGATATTTTTATCTAATATTAAATGGACGCACAGAACTTAGCGAATGCACAGCAACCTGGACAACCAAACCCAGAGAATATTCCAAATGAAGTTAGAATACAAACTGCAATGGCAAACTATGGTCAAGTGCCAACAGATGTACAAATGCAAACTGCCATGTCAAATGACGCTGCGTTAGGTTTGCCACCATGGTATGCAAATATGAGATGGAAAGAGTTTTATACAAACCCTGAAGTGGGATATAAACAACTTTATGCAGATGACGCGAACACAGGAGTTGACCCAGAATATGTTTTCTACCAGAGGAGAAACAGAATGTATGAGCTCCAGTTAAAGAATGCTATGGAACTCAACAGGAAACGCAAAAGACTAGGCGGACATTAGATTTTTACATATAGTAAAATGGGTTTCTTCAGTAGTATTGGAAACTTCTTCAGAAGAGTTGGAAGAGGTATATGGAATGGCGTCAAAACCGTAGGAAAAGGAATTTGGAACGGTGTCAAAAATATTGGTAAAAGAGTAGGTCAGTTCGTTGGTATTATACCTAAAGACCCTGAACCAGAAGAACAAGCTCCTGTTATACAACAGCCTGAACCTGCACCACAGTCTAGTTGGCAACCAAATCCAACACCTCAACCGTATTAAAAAATTATATTTTTACCGTTCGATAGTAGTTGTATATGAAACTAAGTTCTAAGTAAAACGCATGGTATAATGGAATTATTCTTTTTCTTCCATCTGTAGTAAACCATACTTGAAAGTCTGAAATACTTCCACTCGGCGGTTCATATAACTTTGTAGGTTTTTCGTAAAAGTCATTTGCCAAGCATAAAAAAGAGTTTTGGGCGCCAGAAAATGAAGCATGAACAATAATAGCAGCTGGGTCGAAAACATTTTCATATGTTCCATTAGGGTTTTCGACTTCATAAAAGTCCGGGTGTACTGGATATGCTGCAGGCTGATTTAACATCCTCATAAATCTATACCATGCCAAGTTGTTATATTTTGTAGAAATATAAACGTTTTCTCCAAGGTCTTCTATTTTATTGATTTTAACAGTTGCATTTTTCCTGTCATAAATAATATCGAGATGGTATTCTCCTTCGTCAATGTTATACTGGTTTGCATATTCGATATAGATATCGTTTATTTTTTCTTGAAAAGCTTGAAGAGTTGTTTCTAAGTTTACAAGCAAACTAACTTGTAAAAGTTTTCCCTGTTCAAATTTCTCATACGTACGTTTTTCTTTGTTATAGTATCGAACTTCAAAACCGACCGTAAATGGGAAACCATGTATGGCTTCTGAAATGAACTTCATTCTACGAAAGCCAATAGCTTTTGTGACAGATGGGTCTCTTAGCCATCTTAATGGGTAGTCAAAACGATAGCCTTCATGCTTTACGGTCTCTGTCTCAAACTTTTGACCGACATTAGTAAAAAGTTCATCTAATGGTTTAGTTGTAGCAACTCTTGAATTTTCTTTTTCTATTGGAAGCATATTTTATCTATAATAAAAATGTCGAAAGATATTGCTTCCATGAGAGAAATACAACACAACCGACAACTCATTATGCAAGCTCTAAATAAGAACACAACAAACTTTTCAAACTATTCTAAGATATCTGAGTCATTGAAAGAAGGAAACTTAAAACTGACATTAAACCCAATGACAGATGAGTTTCTGTTTCAAGACAATAAGAACCATACTGTCTGTATAAATCCAACAAAAGGAACTTTAAACGAGAAACCTATAAATGAACTTCTTTTGAAAGCAGATGTTGACAACAAAGCTGACAAAGAATATGTAGACGATGCAATAGCAAAAGAAGAAGAAAGAGCTAACAATGCTTATGCAACAAAAGAACATACTCATCCTGAACTAGCAGACAAAACATATGTTGACAATAAAATGTCAAGTGAAGTGACAAGAGCTGAAAACGAATATTCTAAAAAGGCTCATATACATTATATTAACCAAATACCAAGTCTTAAGGAAACATTAGAGACAAAAGCAGATAAGACTCATACACATTCTATATCTGATATTACAAACTTACAAGAAACCTTAAACAGGAAAAGTGCCGTTGGACATACACATACTATTGCAAATATTACAAACTTACAAGAAACCTTAAACAGGAAAAGTGACGTTGGACATACACATACATCTTCTGAAATAACAGACTTAAACGTTAGCCTTGAAAAGAAAGCAGACAAGAACCATACACATGATTTCTTCACAACTGTTGCTATAGAAAGTATTGAAGGAACGGTTGAAGAAACTGGTGGGGATGCATTATATTGTAAACCTCCTAACTTTCCACAAGGTTTAACATCGGATGACGACATAACGACGATGGGAAACATTAGATGTAAAGATGTTTATGTCATGAAGGATGAACATAATATTAAATTCACTGCTCAAGATTTATATGACAAGAAAGCAGACAAAACAGAGCTTCAAACATTAAAGACAGAAATACTTCAAACATTATATCCTATAGGCTCTATTTATACGTCAATGAACTCTACCAGACCAGAAGTAGTACTTGGTTTTGGAACTTGGACTCAAATAGTCGACAGGTTTTTGTATTGTGCAAACTCTTCAAAGGAAACAGGTGGAAGTAAAACGATTTCAGGTGAAAATTTACCTGCACACAGTCACTACATAGATTTAAGTACATCTCAAGCAGGTTGGCATAAGCATAGATATTGGGATTGGTCAGCAATGACAAAAGGTAAAGGATATGATGTTAAAGACAACGTTAAGTTTGCTATAAATTGTTACTGGAGTAACACTGAGGGAGGAGGAAACCATACACATCGCGTTACAGGATATACGCAAACAACGGGA